TGCTCCATGGTCCGTACCCTAGTCCTTCGAGGGTGGCCCGTGAGGGGGTGACTGCTTGTGTCGGTGCTTGGTCCGGCTCGCTCGCTGAGGTAGTCGCCGATGATGCCTTCTCGGTGGGTGGCGGCCTCGGTGAGCCTGATGAGTCGCTTTCATGTCCTTCCTTGACACATGCTGCTTGAAGACGGCCTCGTTGCTAGTGGTGGAAAGTCCATTATTGTTTCTTGGGTCACGGATGCATAGCTTCGACGACTCGTACAGTCAACCGTGGCGTGTCCCGCACCACAACGCCGACAGGATTCGGTGCAGGTTGAGCCGTTGTGTCCGAAGATGGCGCACCGTGAGCAGAATTCCGCCGCGCATTGTGCTTTAAAATGTCCTTCCTTTTTGCACCGCCGGCACACCCGAACCAGGCCTCTGTAGTCAAAAGTGACACGGTAACCGGCTATGCGGGCGAAATTGGGGACTGGGTTGTCTTCTTTCATCTTCATCTTCAGGTAGCGGGTTCCGGTCTTGACGCTGGGATTGTCTTTGTACACACCATGGGCAATTTCGAGGACCTGCCCATAGGGTTCTAGGCTCTTCTTCAAGGTTTCGTCCGAGACGAACAATGGGAGGAACATGCATGTTATCGATGTAATCACCGGGCCGACTGGGGTCAACGGGTCAGCAATAATAACTTCTCTGGCTGCGCCGAGTGAGGCAGCAGCTTGACGTGAGTTCACTACCACTTGGAAGGTGGGGCCTCCCAGGTGTTGGACCGCATAAACTTCAGGCAAGCTTACGATGGCCGCAGCTGCGGCGATGATGGCGTCCACGGGTGTTCCAGCAGGAACCGTGACGTCGAAGGCGTGCGACTTCGGCGGGGCCATCGTGTTGCCACGGGGACCCGCCGCTGCTGCTGCTGCTGACGCTGGACGGACTTCTACGACGACGGGCAGAAAGTTCCCACACCTAAGCGGGACATACCTTCTTCAAGGTGTTATATCCGAGATGCTTAAAATCGGGTCTATTCAAAACTGCCCCTCTACATACGCAGTGAGTGCCAAACTCATTATCAAATTTTGAAGACCACTGCTTTCTCCTACACCTTATCTCACATTCCTCGGTACACTCGTACAAGATAAAACTGATCCCTTATGCTAAGTTTCCAAAACCTCCACTTAATTTGCATATTTTTGGCACAAAGTGGCATATAGTGGATGGTGTTTCGAAACACAGGTTGCTTGAAAGCTCCGTAAAGTTGGCTTCACCTGCGAAAATTCTAGGAATGTTCGGAAGCGAACGTTCTAAGAATGTTGCACATATGAATGTTCAAAGGGGAACGTTCCGAGAACATTGTGCATACGAATGTTCGCCAACAAACGTTTTTAGAATGTTGAGCAGCATACCTTGTAAGGAATGTTCGCATACGAACGTTCCTAGAACGTTCCGAATGGTGTTTAACGTTCCTTCAACATTCAGAACACCCAGGGAATGTTCGCACGACATTGGATGCTACGTGGGATGTTAAGTGGCGCAAATCCACGTTTGCTGCTTCACACCAAATATGTGCGTCCTGACTTTAGCGCAGGAGATTTGGTACAAGAAGTAGAAGAGCCGTAATCTGGGGTGGGTTTGAGGTTTTTGTTTTGGTTTGCCCCCTCGCTCGAGGGCTAGTTGGTACGTCACTGCTCCCATAAAAAGAAAACAACAACAACAATATTTTTTTTTGTAGCTCTAACCACGTGTCATATTGTCTTCGTTTACCTGCTTGCCGTTTTAGCCGCCAGGGAAGGTGGCCAATTTTTGTTCCACACTTGCCATTTTATTAAACAAGTGCCTCCTTTTTCAGTTTCTCAATCGCATGTCTCCACCCACAGGGCTTCGCCCCAACTCCGTGTGAGTGCGAGCATGCACACGAACAACTATATATATATATATATATATATATATATATATATATATATATATATGGTGTCCATGTGATACAAAGTTCGGCATGCGTCTCGCTAGAGCCTATTACCATGAAAATGTAATTTAAAAAAAAAATAACTAGATTAAGCGCCGCTCACACACTTGCAACCGAGCGTGACCTAGAAAGACGAGACCGGCTTTTAAGCCACTCGCAAGGGCGTAGGACCTGTTGCCCAGCAGCGCATCTGGTCCTACGCCGTTGAAAGAGGCGGCCTTGTCTATCTCTCTCTTGGTCCTCCTCGGTTGCAAGTGTGTGAACGGCACTTTAGGGTGCGGTAACATCTAAAAAGCTAAAAAAAAAAAAAGAAAAACGGGGACACAAACAAGAGGGGACAACACAGCAGTGTGTCTTGGGGTCTTGTGATTGACTCCAGGTTTCGGTAGCTTGACGAAATGAGCGCTCTTTTTCTTTTTCTTGAGGCCTGGGCGGTAAAGCTGTTTTCAACAGCTTTTTTTCTACGTCGTGCATCAACACTGGTTTTTTTTTTAAATAGATATTATTATTATTATTGTATTATTATATTTGTTTTGCACTCATCAGCTTGCACTCGGTGCAACTGCGTCCCCTTAGAATATGCCGATAATGTTAAGTACCTTGGAATATTTTTTGATAGTAGCCTGAAATGGCAAGTTCATATCCCTTATATATGCAAAAAAAAAAAAATTAGATGCGCCAGCTGATTCTTGTATAGGTCTATATGTTTTATATCACTTTCCATTCGAAAAGCAATAGCGCATGCCCTTGCACATAGAGGATACGGTATCACTGTTTTTGGCAATTGTTCAGCTTTCTGGAAAGTGAGAATAGACACCCTCCTAAAGCCACAGATGCCTGAGGACACCACCCTTTTCAACCTTCTTGAACTTCCTAACTGGCAAACGCTGTATACGTTCCCACTGTTTCATTGCGGCATTTTTTGAGCAACGAATTTAAAATAGTCAGCTCGTCCTCTCGTGTCGTGCGTCCCTTGCAGCCTTTTCAAATTCCACGCGTTCGTACTCGCTATGGCGAAAGTAGGCGCACATATTATGTTCCACAAATTTTTTTCTCAAATGCCGCGTTAGCTTCCATCTCTTACTTCGCTGCGAGTGGTTAAAAAAGTTTTCAGAAGTATCACTTTCTGACAAGACCTTCGGTTGGGCATCGTTGTAAGACCTGCATTTTAGGTTACATTTATGCAGCTTTGGGATTGCGACACCTCAGCTTTAAACTCGATGTTGTGTATTTGTGCTTAGTATAGTCGCCTTTTTCCTTTATACTTAATACATCATTTTGCATTGTCAACAAAACTTTCATTCCTATTTTTTTTTTTACAGTGATTATTCTGAAGTTGGGCGATGCATTTGCATACGGATTTGTGTATGGGTGTGTGTTTCTGTGTCAAACTGATGGCCGTGACATCCTAATGACATCTGCGTATAATTGAGCTCCAGTTCGCATTCGGGTTCTAAGTTGGTACGTTAAACTGTTATTTTAGGGTATAGACGCTTTACACACGCGCCAAATTACAGCCGCCATTGCTGACCTTCTCTTGTCTTACCGAGATGGCGAGCAACTGAAACGGTAGTTGACGATCCTCTACAAAATCCGATGCTTTAGAAAAGGACACAATTGAGTCTAATATGGCAATAACCTGGCCTCTTATGGTAATGATGAAGGGAAACGAACGGAATAAGTGGAAACAAAAACTGAAGGTCAGTTATGGCGGCGTCCATGCACAGCTGCTGCAAAGCGTCTATACTCCGTTTCACGTTATGTTGTATCGCAGCGAAGGCTAAAAGCGCGAGCTCATAGCGTTGACAGCTGCCCCTAATGCACGAGAGCTTGTGCCGCCGAGGTGTGCCCCAAAACAAAGAGCTCGCGCTCGTAGCCTTTCCTGCGGTACACCATAAGGTGAAATAGAGTATAGCATCGCACAAGCCTCATGCTGGCTTTGATGCGCCCGTTACGCAACCTTGCTTTGTGCTAAATGCAATAAATAATAATAATTATTATTATGAAAGTATTTGCAAACAAACCAAACGTTCACCTCCGTTTGTAAATTAACTAGCAATAAACGCAAAAGGGTGCACTTAATTATATAATCACTTAAAGCTGTGACGTGACCCTTAATGAAGTCGCTCAGTCAATAAAAAAAAAAAAAGAAAATGAATTACTAGGCTTCGCTTTTAGTCGCACCATTAGGTCTCGCTTCCGAGAATCTTTTTACTACACTGCAATCAATGTGCTGGGAAAAAATCCGGGAATATTTATGCCATTAATTAAAAAAAACGCACACACAAGCAAAAAAAAAAAAAAAAAGGTTCCACTCTGTTTTTTGTTAAAGAAAAAAGAAAAGCAGAAAATGTTATGGAAGGAGTATACTGGCGCTTATGATGCAGTTAATGACGGTAAATCGGCCCCTTATTGCGTTGAAAGGTCTGAGAGACAAAGCAGAAAAGTCAAACGTCGATGGTTTTCCCTTTTTAGGGATGTCGTGCCTTATCGGGTGCTGTTGCGTTGGTCGCGGAATAAAGTTTCGAAACTGCCCCCCCCCCCCCCCCCCCCCCTTTCTTTTTTTATTATCGTAGCGTCCATCTCAACATCGCCACCGGCGAGACTGTTACGCCATCCGCGTTCAGTTCGGCAAGACACTGGAGACTGAAACACAATAAATCCCGCTCCCTTTTTTTGCGAAAAAAAAAAAAAAAATAAGCGCACGCGTCGTCACTACTCGACTACACCCGGGTTTAGAAATGGAATTCCGTGCCTTCGACTCAAAGTCTCCCCCCGAACGAAACCCACTTTCGCGTCGCCGTTGTTTGCCTTTTCTGAACCAGCGAAAGACCGCTCGACGAGTTGCAACGATTATCTAATTGCGCCGTTATATGCCACCCTCGATTTCACAAGCGCCGAACGAAAACGCTACAAATTCCGAAGGAAACACAGGCGCCGCCGCGGTGCGCGAACCCCCAAACCCCAGTCATCATCTCCCGGCTTTCCCCATCTCCGCAAAATGAGACTGATCCCCCCAATTGACGTCATCCCTGACGTCACGGCGACGGCAGCGCCCGGGCGGCGCGGTGGCGGAATCAGTCGGCTAGCGCTCGCTGCTCTCCGTCTGCCTACGCATAGAATACATGCCATGTAGCTCGTGAGTACGGGGGTTCTACAGGAACAGTCGGTGCGTTCGCCGTTCCCCTCCTCTGGCCCTCCACCCGTCGCCCGCGTCGAAGAAAAGCTTCGCCAAATCCACACGGCATTATCCATGATCTGCCAAACCGCAGTATGTCCTTGCTCTGCGTGACTGGTGAGTTAGTTTCGTTTTTGGCAAGGGGGAGCGGAGTGGGCTTAGGCCTAACTCCGGGTTCGGCGCTCCTTTGGGCCGAGATCTTGGTCCGTGTTTACAAACACACGGAGCGACGGTGTCGTGCCGCTGTTGCCGAAACGCTCGTTCTTGATTTTTTCTCCCGTCCCCGAAACGCCGAGGAGTCGCCCCGGAACCCAAAATGAAGCGCTCGGCGTCGAGCAGCAATCGAAATGGTCGCATTTCTGCGACTTGCCGGATTTCGGCGATTTTCAGGTCCTCTTATTTTTCTCTTTCTTTTTATTTTGTAACCTTTTATCGCCGTGTTTGCAGGTTCGTTTACTGTGTTCTGCTGTGCGTGCATACCAAGTTTCGCCCGATTTCCTTCGTAAATCCGTGCTGGTGCAGACTCCCTTTCTGGTTGTGATAATGTGCCGAACCCCAACAGTTTTGCCCGCGCACTTCTCTAGTCTAGCTTTTTTTTAAAAATTCCCATCGAATCTATCGCGAGGCCGGATCTACATCGCATCGCACGGCTTTCTTCGACCGCGTTTTCGCCCGGTCGTAGCTCCCGCCCTGAAAAACCCTAACCACGCGTAAATAAATAAACGAAGATTTTGCCCAGGGATCAGCGCGTCTCCATTCTCCGCGCGCGGGCGGCAGGTGCATTGGAAGGCAGCCTTATCACGCTAAATCTGCCGTCGATTATTTGGCCCCAGAAAAAGAACCGCCTCACCGTTGGTTAAACGGTGATCCCGCTGTATAACTACAGTGCCGTTTGATGTTCGCAAACCATATTTGATAGCGCGATCCGCGGATTTCTGAGGCATCGTTCTGCGGCGCAAAGTGGCGAAGCCAACTTCACGCGCTGGTTTATGTAAGAGCTACCTGTTAAAGACGGTGAACGAGTGCGCCCTCCTCAAATTAGCTACCGGGGGAACGCAACATTAGCCCCCCGAAAAAACGAAGCGGCCTCACGTTTAATCAGCGGGTTGTGGCCAAGTTCGTCGCCTCGGCATCGATCTGTGGACCGGGTGGTCCGTCGTGGTGCACGGTGCCTTGTTTTGGGCGAAGCGGCTCGCCGTTTCCGCAGGGGCATCGATGTGTGCCAGGCGATCTTTCCGGGTGCTGCTTCGCTGATATTGAGCTGTCTCATAACTATTTTCGGGAGTTGACGGCCGCGCCGACGGGAAGCGACTGCGTTCACGTCTAATGCATCCGGATTTTTTTTTTTCTTTCTTTTTATGTGGTGGACATAGTTTGGGATTTTCTTCACTTTGTGTTGCGCGCTTGCATGTTACGCAATGCGTGTTTTTTTTTTTTTTTTGGGTGTATGACGTAGGCATGCACTCGCTCGTTTCTTACGACTACTGCAGCTTGTTCTCGTGTTCCTCAGGCGGATTACGATTTCGTAGTTCGTTTAGGGGATTAAACAGGTCTACCTGGAAATGGTTCGTGCTTTAAATCTGAGCAAATGGGTGCGGCGAAGGTACGGGATTAAATTGTTCGCGGCGTGCAATTGTTATTATACAGGTATGCCTAGTTTTTGTTTCTTTCTGTTTTTGGTTAATTATCTCGCTTAACGATGTAGCTTTTAAACAGCTGTGACCTATATATGACACAACACGTGATCCCAAATAAACGTTTGTGGGACGTTGCGACGTCTTTGTGGCGCTGTCATCGGACATAAAAAAGGCCAATTGGGACGCACACCTTTTCTAGATGTTTCACCTGGTTTGCATAATTTAATTGCATTCATCATGCATGTTTTTGCAATCAATGCGTCAGATCAAATGCTCCCTCATTTTTCAATCGTCAGGTTGGCTGTCTGGAAAAAGCATATTTATCCATGCTTGTCACTACGTAACTGCTTCATCCTTAAGCTTATGCGGAGCGCAAATTCGTCTGCTTCTTGCATAGGGGTTGTGATGATGTCAAAGTGCCGAGCTCTTATTGGCTCATTGAAAAAAAAAATAGTGGGTAGACCTCAAGGCATCTAGCATTGAGGTTTACCCACTATCCTTTCAATCATAGCCAGTCGGGGCTCGGTGTCGTTCTGACGTCACCACAAAACCTGCACAAGAAGCAGACGACTTGCTCTCCACATTTTTTCGTGTTGTCTTGAAACTTGGGCACTTCTATACATTTTTGTTTTGTTCATTTATTTATTTTTATTCATACACAATGTCTAGGACGTAACATGAAAAGGCAGACTTAATTGCTCTGCCTGTTACGGTTTTTTTGCTTGTTTATTTCCAGTCTCGGACTTGTGCCAATTGTGGCATTTTGGTACATTTTCATTTGCCTGTGCGTTGCAGCGTGCAAATGCCAAATTTGCACCACACTGCATCAAGGAAAGCTTGTCAATCTTTAAACAGATACTCTTGTGGAGGAAAACTAAAAACCCAGTCTCGGAGGTTTTTAGTCATAAGAATTAGCATCTTGGAATGGCAATCCTGTCATTTCCTGTATTTGGTTGGCAACATAGACAGCTGGGCCAACTGCTTTGTGATGTGATGTATGACGACAGACCGGGTGGCAAAGGTGCTGGAAAGGATGAAAAAAAAAAGGGAAAAAAAAGGTTACATTGACAAAAACAAAGTTAGAAAATTGGTAGAAAATGTTCAGAGAAGCGTTATAACAATAAAATTGGTGGGGTATATGACTTAATGAAAAATTAAGTTAGAGAAAAAGTTAAAGGGGAGAGTTGTAAATGTTTCCAGGCTAGGTGGCACAAGCTACTGCTTGATAGAAAGGGTATGGTTAATACCAATCATTCACACGGTCATTGAATTGACATGGTGACAATCATATACTGTAGATTCATAGATTCTGCCCTACCAAGTTTGATCAGTTGAGTAGCCTTCCATTGTGCACTCCAAACATTTTGTGTCAGCACTGAACATAAAGGACCTGCAGGAGTCCTATAAAGGACTCCTTTGGGTCCTTTATAGGACAATAGGTGAGGGCTTGTGTCTTCTCACTTGAGCGTTGCACGTTGGCCAGGCTCCAACACCCGTGTTCCTCGGAACGCGGGGAAGTCCGGGTCCCTCTGCCTAACCATCTACAGAGTGACAATCCTTTGCTTCTTCATCAGATTCCAAACATCTTGTGTCAGCACTAGTCAAGTCATCTTTCTTACTGTGCATGCATAGAAGGAAGGTATACACGGATTGTAGGTTAGTAGTTCTCGCACAGGGCTCTCTTTTTTAGCGCTCTCGGTGCAGGATTTCTTTGCCATGAATATTTGCATTGTAATTTGCTTGTCAAACATTATAAACAATTGATCGTCCTACTTGCATTTAAAATGCTTCCACATTGAGAAACCCAGAATCAGTATTGTTTCAAATTATTGAAGGTCTTGCATAAATCGATTGCAGTCAAGGAGACGTCAGTAATTTACCTTAGCTTCAGCTGAAAAACAACTTGGCTGAAAATCAGTCTTGGGTAAGTTACTTTTAAAAAGTAATTCGTTACAGTTACAGTTACTTTCCGAAAAAAGTAGTGAAGTTACCGTTACAGTTACCGCAACAAAAGAGTAACTCGTTACAGTTAGAGTTACTTTTAAAAAGTAACGACGTTACTTTTCAGTTACTTTTCTATAACATAAAAAATAGGAAAAAATAGAAAACGCCCGTCACCAAGTTTGATTGCATAAAATTAGATGGTACGCTCTGTGCTTCATGTTGTAACTTAGCAGAAGTTGCTTCTCAAAGTTAGGGCCCGCTCACACATGCAGCGGAGCGCTACAAGCATAGCGCTAACCTCGCGCTAAGCGCGTGCTGACGGCAGCGTTCACCAGCTTTGTATCGCACCGTCAAAACTGTTGCTCATGGCATACGATAAGTAGCTGATGGCACGTGAGGAGCGCTGCATCAGCGCTTCGCTGCATGTGAGAACCGGCCTTAAGTGTTTGAAAATTTCCACGCCAGAGTAGTGGCACAAATAAAAGTACGAAACACACGCAGTGTGGAGTACTGGCGATAATCAAAATGCGAAGCATGCGCAGTGCCCTCCGCGTGTATTGTTGTTTCACGGTTGATTCACCCGATTAAAAAGCATTTTCACAGAAAAAAGAAAAAACACAACATGGATAGTGCTTCAAGACACTAAGATGTAAGTGTTCAGTCACAAAGTAAAAGCGCGTGAGTAAAGATAACTGGATTTTTTTTCACGAAATCTACACGTGGCTATATTCAGGTCGTCACTCGCTAGAAAAGAACGTATTCACAAGTTTGTGCAAGGCCAATTTGACACTTGAAATGTCGGAATAGACGATTTGAAAAGTGCAAGGAAGATCTAAATTGTGCCCTCATTCAGTGATATATTATTCATAAAACACTGGAAAGTAATGACAAAAGTAACGTCGTTACTTTCATCGTTACTCCAGATAAAAGTAATAGAACTACAGTTACAAGTTACATTTTAAAAAAGTAACTCGTTACAGTTACAAGTTACCGAAAAAGTAACGAAATTACAGTAACGCGTTACTAGTAACGCGTTACTACCCAAGACTGCTGAAAATGCTAGGACAGCCATAATTGCTGTCTTTCTTGTGCATTTAATTTTCTTTGTTCACCCTGGTTTGCACGCTATCCTTTGTTGCTGAACTTATCATTATATTTCTTTAGTCAAAGGCACATCTTACTTGTGCTAACTTGTATGCACTGGTACCAATGGGAACAGAAAACAAATTTGTTGTTAGTATACTTACAGCCTGTGTGAGATTAACACACAATTATTGTGGCATTTTCTTGCAGCTGTAGAGGTCAGTGCAGCACAACTGCTAATGTGTACCATGCTGTAGTGATTAGATGACTGCACACTGCTATCATTAACAGCAAACCGCCTGAGTCGCTGAAAATTATGCTCGTGCTGCTTCAGAGCTGCCCCAAGATGGGAATTTTTCTTTTACAAAATATTCCAAAAAATGATTTTTTTTTTTTTTTTCTGCTCTAAAATTTGCTTCAAAGGATGGGTCACCACCCCATTTCGAACAGATT